ATTGGCTTTGCAATGGATGATATATCTCCCAGTTTTGGAGTCTAATCTTATCACCCGCCAAGCATACATGCTCGCCCGTTTGTAGATACATCTGGGTGAATTGATGCGTAGTTTTGGTAGGTAAGGTGAGTCAGAGTTGATAAGAACAGCTGACTAACGAGTAACTGGGTGGAATCATAATTTACGTAAATTAAATGGGTCAGAAAGGCAATTAAATGATAGGTCTACGCGTGTCAATATTTCTTCCCCTCCCATGCGACCCTTTGGCATAGATGCAAAGGAAGTGGAAAGCCTGGAAGGGGTTTCGATGAGCTTAGAACTTTGGAAGGCTTTGGTGGGCATCATCACTTGAACTCATTTCTCAATTGTTTCTGTCAATTGTGCCCGCAATTATTCGTTGTGAGAAAGTGACTACAGATGGGAGCACAGTGGGCGCTTTCATGCTAAAAGAATGTGGTTTTGTCCACCTCCCAAACACGCCCCCCCTCCCAAAACCCCCCATCCCTACAGCAATTACCTCTGACTTGAATATAAATTTAAATCTAACAAAGAAAATGAAGAAAAAAGGGATTATGTGATAAATTTCTTGTAATAAAGAGTACATGATTACCTTTTTGCTGGTTAGATTACTTTGATCGTTAGTCATGAGGATAGTTTGTAGGTAGGTTTCATCAACGTAAAGGGTGATTTGTTACTTACCTCTAATGAGAGGGGGGTAATTGAAATTTAGCCTGGAATGAAAGGAAGGAGAAATCAATCATGCAGAGTCTATATCTTTTGATTTTTTATTCTTGTGAGAGGATTTAATATTGAGAATCGAGAGGCCAATACATTGCGATAGAAACAAGAGAAGAAGAAGCCAGAAGTGGTCCATTTCCACATGGATTAATTTAACTCTTTCGGACTTGTGGCATTAGGGGTTCAGCCTAGATGGTGTCTTATTGGGACACAGCCACTCATGCAGCTCTCTGCATTGCTTCTTTCGGTGCTTTGAACTTTGAAGGCTTGCTTGCTTCATGATGGTCAAGACACTAAACTATAGATGTAAAAAAAAACACTCTTTTTTTCTTTCCAACCTCAATGTCCTCCTTGTCCACCTCCAATAATATATCTATCTAAATCGATCTGTGTGGATGATTGCTGAGAATAGTAACCTTTTGCATTATATGATCAAGCGTCTGCGTGTACATGTGTGAATTAACTGTACTGTAGGATTCGGCCGTGAAGATATATGACAAAGTTTTGCAAGATTCAAACGACTCATGATTTGAAGTTAGAGTAACAATCAATACGAAAATGAGGGGAAAAAAAATGTTATTGCATGATTACGAGTATTGAATTTACGTGACAAGATCCAATTCACAGGGTCCCTCCATTGTGATGAAAACATTGCATTTCACCTACATTTGCTACTATTTGACATCTACTCCTAACTCTTCTGCCCAGTGACTAGCAATGGGGGTCGCCCTTCTTAACTTTGTTTTTGCTCATAATATTTTATAGATTTTTTTTTTTTTTTTGTAATTTTCTTTTAACTTGTCCTCCCTCCGAGTCCGAAGGTATTGTTTACCTTACATCTCTTGCCTTCTTCCCCTCCTCCTGTAACTTGACTTTTTGCCTAAAAAATGTTATTGTCCTTCTCTTCTTTAAATTGCTGCCCAAAGTAAAATATACTTATAAACTACCGCGTTATGTCAAAGAAATCCTTGCTAATTGGAGTATCTTTTTGTGCATGTATTGTGTACAAGTTAATCAGTAAAGATTGTCAAATAGATGGAACATTGGGTGGGGTTAAATCAGTTAAGAAAATGAAATCAATAAAGTTATGAACTTTCACAAAACGATCATTCTAGCTGAAGTTAAAACGGATGACACATTTAGTATCTACCCTATTCTGCACATCAATTATTTTATCTGCAGGATAGGAAAATCGGGTGTTACATGGAAATGCTACAACTCGTTATCCAACTTGAAAATACCATGTAGAAGATAACTTTAAGTTCACCACTTAAACCACTCTTTACTCTCAAGAATCGAAACTGGTAATCCTAACATGGCAAATAGTGTGTGCGTGTGTGCGTGTGAAGTAGGCAGAAGCAAAAGGGTCCTGGAAAGGTGGAACTGGAGTGGGCAATGTTGTGATGAAAAAGAGTGTAGTTGCTGGCACATTTTGGTGAAACTGCCCTATGTCGAGTGCTTTATACCGCGTTCCTTCCCACACCATCTCAAACAAGGAAAAAGAAAAAGAGGTACGAGACTTTCAGATCAAAGTTTGGTGATTCTTGAACAAAAGAGACACCTAATTATGACCCTGCCTCAACTTCTTTTTATCTTGGAAGAAAATTTTAAGTGACGAATCAAATGAGCATCCAAATCTTTAGAGTGCATATCATCATACTTATTTATTGTCTATTATTCGCTCTTAGAATTATGATAAAAGAGAAAAAAATTAGATGATCGTTCGTTTCCAAAATTCAATTTAACTCGTACGGACATTAGTGTGATCATGAGTTTTCTCGTTCAACTTTTAAACCTTTTCTTTTTTTCTTTCCCCCGCTAAGTACTATTCTACATTTTGTTGATTCGATATCTTCTTTATTCAAACAAATATTTGGCCAGCTATTCATACAAAAAAGAAGAAGAAGAAAAATTACTCCGGCTTGAGCATGCTGCCAATGTAGGAGTGGAGCGTGCAACATATGATGTTCTACACCCCGAAAGTCCCAACCCCCACCCTTTGAGAGGGCACAAGGTCCACAACCGCACCCACCAGGCAGAGCAATTACCAACTCTGCATCCTAGAATGACTACTGCTGAAACCGATCATGTTAAGGCTAGGACCAGTCGTTTCTAAAATCCATTTATAGGCCAACCATAATATGACCTGTAAGGTTCTTAGGTTCAATGAATCCTTCATTTACGTTGATGGGACATATGAATCCATCTTTGTTCCAATGAAATAATGGTTGACATGATGCTGGAATTCTCGAGTTCTCCGTTGAGTATTCCATTGAGGTATATGTACCGTAAGGTCCGTTTGGTTCATGGGATGACACAGAATAGTATTTTTAAACTATGGGTATATATATATATACACACAAAACAGACAGGCGCGATCGTGAGTACTAGAGCATGATCTAATTCTTACTACATCATAGTGTCTTTGGAGTACATTAGCCCTTTTTACTTTATCTCTCTATGAAGAATAAATTATCCTTACTTAAAGAAAATAATGTCAGCAGATACATGGTAGTTTCCATGAATCCATTTTTAGACAGAAATTATTGAGAGCTATAGGGAGTTCAAAGTTTCATGAGCTGCGGTGTGGTGCCAGATTGTATAAGGGCCCCATGTAGCGATTTTATGTTGGACTGGTGGTTGGATCTTTACAAACGGGTGTGAACAGATCGTTCAGCCATCAGTTCTTAATGCTGTTCCTGACTGAGGGACCAAAGCCCAGAGTTTGCCTAACAAGGACAAATATCATAGGCCCAACAATGGGCTATTTTTATTTTTTATTTTTATATTTTTTTAGTGTGAGTGGGAGGACTCCAACCAAGTTTTCAGAAAAATTCCTAGACTTTCACAGTGGGGATGTTTCACTTTTTTTTTTTTTTTTGTGATGTTCCCTTTTTTTATTTTTTTTTAATGGGGGATGTGGAGAAGAAGCAGGAATGAAATAATGGGCATGAAAATAGAGAAATTTGACTAGCAAGTGACAGTAATCAATTGTCTTAACTATTGGACTAAGGTTTGATGATTAAATGAATTGTGCTCTTCCGCTGTGTTCCATTTTGCAGGCTTCGTCATCCAGAACTTCGAGCCGGGTATAACCTTTTATGCTGGATCCAAATGAGCCACCATGACATGTAGCTTTCTAAATCTGGACGAAAGGAGCAAAATTATCTGTCTGGGTTTGTATTCTTTTTGTTCTTTAATTTAAGCCAACTCAGGCCCAACTATGTTTCATTTATCACTCCTTCAAAGCATGGCATCAAAAGCTTTTGCTTGACATGCAAATGAGCTTTGTAATGCCAAGTTTTGAATGAACCAAGCAATCAACAAACAAGTTCGTATTTGCCTTGTTTGAGTTCGAAAAAAGTTTAATCGTTTAATTAATCAATTGATTTCGAGCACAAAATTAGACTCCTGCAATAATTTAGCCGTCCTCTCTTCCCCTCCCCTTCTGAAATCTGGCCGTATGATTCGATCGTGACCAAATCTATTTACACGACAAAATCCGATTGAAAAGGAGGACGAAAGTGTTCCGTTAATCCTTCCCTCTTCCCCCCACCCCTCCTCGCGGCATCACCTCCACTTTTCCCTCTCTCTCCTCCCTTACATTCCCCCACCACCTTCCTTTCTCCACATCGGTTCCTTTTCTCCTTTACCCCCGTCCTCCCTTCCTTGAATCTAGCAGGAATGAACGACCAGGTTGTGACCAAATCTGGTCACACAACAAGATCCCATGGGAAAGGAGGGTGAGGGTGTGAGGAGAGGGGAAAACCAAAATAGGGAACGTGGGGAGGCAAGAAATAGAAGGTGAAGTGCTACAAGAGGAGAAAAGGTGGAGAAAAACAGAGGGAGGATAAGGAAGGTGAGGTGGTGGAGGAGGAAAAAAAAAAAAAAAGGGAGTAACAGAGGAAACAGTAAAAAATGCAAATTATAAAAATACTCCAAATATATTTTAAATTTTAAAGACACGTAAAATACAATTGCACGGTAAATTTTTACCATACAATCCTATAGTATAATTTTTATAAAATATCCCAAAAAATGTCTAATCCATGCCAACCCATAGGTCTACATATGATGGTATCTATAATTGTAAATGAAGTAAAACTTGATAACTCTCACCCCTAAAGAGAAGCCACCTTTCCATTTTCTCCCATGGTTATTGGGCGGCAGAGCCAAACTTTCAAAACCATGACCCTAATCTTGGTCTTATCTCGATAAAAAGAGAGAAAAATACAAAAGAAAATGCATAACAAATAAAAAAATGTCAGAAAAGCACATAAACCACATCACATTTTAGTTATGATAAAATGAACAAGAGCATACCCATCAAGTGACAATTGTAACAGGTACAAGGAAGCTGTCATACAAACTTACGTTCAACTGAGAAGCTAGTCAAAACATGGGCTACTATATGGGCCTATACATCATTCAAGTATTCTGATTCAAAATGAACATTTTTAGCAAGAAGCTTCAAATTGACAGCCAAAAGTCAGTGGTCCTTTCTCTCCATTCCGTGCTTGTCAAGTACCGTGCTCCTCAATGTCAGCAGATTTGTTTCCACCCCATGATATAAAACTATCCTGAGATGCAAATTCCTGCAATTTGTTTCCACCCCATGATATAAAACTATCCTGAGATGCAAATTCCTGCAAAGCACTTGAAACCTTGAACTAGAACTAAAGAAGGTGAAGGCAGTAGTAAACTAACCAAGATAAAGTAGACCATTAATATAATAATATGAAGCAGAGAGAGGAGGCTTGAACTCACAAGCTGGCTCAACCGGAAGTCAGGAGGTGTATCTAGCTCCAGGTTTACTGGATCAAGGACCAGATCTTGGCACTCTTCTAAATCTTTCTTCAAATGTTCAGGTCCTAAGTGGGCATAATCAGCAAGACGAGGTTTGGGTTTTAATTCTTGCTCATTTTTATCTCCATCTCTGTTTGGAGATTGGCTCCGTAGAAACTCATCACATAAAGATAGTGCTTCTACAAGTTGCTGTGAGTCTAGCAAGTATTGTGATTCACTATCCCACCACTCTCTCTTCTCACCAGCATCATTGTCGGTTTTATCATCCTGTTGATCAGCAAGATCCACAGCAGAGACGGGATCTTCACAATTGGGCTGGTCGCTTGGAGGTCTAACCTCATCTTCCATGCAAACCACACCATGATGCTACAGAATAATTAACAATCACTGAATGATAGATAATACAGATGTTAATAGAATTTCTAATTCTCCACCCTGGCAAGAGTCCTCTACCATAGTCATATTGGTGGTTGTGCTACCCTGCAAACTTCTTTTTTTTAAAGTTCATAAATGAGTATAAGATCATTACAATGAACAAAAAATGATGTAACAGCCACACAACACAAAGGTGCCTTTGATTGGCGGTCATAAGAAACAAAATGAATGGCAAATACTAAACACCCCCATCCTTCATGGTATCTGGAAGTGCCAAATAGAAATGATTTTAAACAGGGAGGACCCAACTTTACCTGAGCCGCTGGAAGAACAGATTCTTGGGCATCACAATCAGGGAAGCGGCTTTCAGTACGAGGTGGTTCAGGGGTCACAGACTTGGGAGTAACAGGATCTACCTTGACAATCGAGGCATCATCTTCTGGAACTTCTACTTCAGCCTTTTCATTCTGCTTGACCTGTTGCTGCTGATAAAAGACCTTGGAGATAACATATTCTCCCTCCCTTTCATCTTCCTCTGTACCGAGGTGATACTGGTGCATCACCCAATTAGTCTTCTCTGGCTTGCCACCTCTTACTGGGCTAAGATACAGCACCATAATTTTTTTACATCCTTTTTGTATACAATCCAAATGAACAGCCTTTGTCCGACCAGTCTTATGCCAACGAACATCTCCAGAACTGTCACCGAGTATCTTACGACGTTTTCTAGTTCCAGTATTATAAGCTTTGATTGCCCTGTGAAAAAAGTGTGCTACACTCCCATCCTGTTTAACACCTAAAAACCACTACTTTAAAAGATTGAAGTCCAAAGAAAACAAATACAAACCAAAGCATTAAAGTGGAATTATTAAGTCTTGTATATGTAGACATAACCTACCAGGCAAATTTTGAGGATGAGTATAGCAGATTCCATCATCTTCATTAACAGTTGGAATAAATTCTTCAATAAAAGGATGGGGCTTCATATTTTCAATACCAACTTTTCCAAGTAAATGCCAAATAATTTCTTTATCAGATGGATCAAACTTTACCCCTCGCGGTAATCCCGGCCACTCTTGGGTGACCTGAAAAAACAAAGACAGAAGAAAGAAACAAACGATTTTCAGCTTTTAGTCTCCAACTGCTCCTATGCACTTTTAATATGAGGAAAATATCTTTTGGAAAACTGGCAACTAAATGTTCTGTTCATCTCACTAATATGTTTTTGCTCTAGCAAAGCAAATGGGGGTAACCTTCGACACAGCCACATGGGACAAATATGCATAAAAGCATAACAAAATTTTAACGAAGCTGAAAATCAGAAAATCAATTCATCCTGCCCCACAATTATTGATTTATTTAGTTCATGGCATTAAATGCTCATTCGTCATGACTATAGAGAGAAACTTAAAAATAGCAATGTCCATAGGCTTTCTCTTACACAAGTATTTTTGCATTTCAACCACACACCAAAAAGAACAATACTGATTATTAAATAATGATCCAATGAAGAAAGCACAGGCAAGTAGAAAGAGATGGGTCACAGATATTAAATATGATAATCTTTCTTCTCAATTAACCACTCCCAGAAACTAATTTCCAACAATAAATTTGTGTTTCTGATTAAGAAGCAACTACTGCTGAAGCTTGTTCCAGATAATATGATGCACATCCATTTTGAGATGTGCAAAAATTTATGAGAGAAGAAATATACATCACTATTGTCAATGACATGCTGACAATTTGGGCAAGTTTTTGTAGGATTGCTTGTCCAGTTAACTTGTTGCAGATCACTTGCGCCAGATGCACTCCTAATTTTGGTTGCAATTCTGTTACTATCAACCAGCCACGATGGTCTGCATAATTTCACGAAATAAATCAAGTTCATGCACTGAACAGCTCGAAGGCTTAAGAAGTGCCAAAGCAGATGAGACCCATAAGAGTAGAGGATATTGACACGGAAGTAAATATTAGACCACATATAATTAGGATTCTATAGCATACAGAAAATATAGATTTGAAAAGTAAGCAAGCATAATTAGCAGCACAGGAAAAATGTACATAAGATTTCACACCAATTAAAGCATAATCTTGCCAAACAATAAACACATTTCCCAAATAATATTTCACTTGCATCATAAACACATTTCCCAACCCACCTTTTTATATTCCCAATCACCTTTTTGTCTCACATACATCACATCACAAAAAGTGCTACAGTAATTATTCCAAATAATACTCTATCCAAAAAAACCCAAAAAATCATTTCACATTCACTACATCTGGATTTGCATTTAGAGGAAAGAACCACACTTAGAAGCACAACAAAATCAGTGGGAAGATACTTTGCTCCTCTACTAAATGCATATCAATTTTGAAACTTTTCTTAACTTCATCCTTTAATAGGCAGCACAGAGTAGACTTCTCCAAAGAAGTTGTTTTTACCAGCCAGAAATAAATACATCCATTGCTTATTATAAATAAAAAGCTAATGAGGTTTATCAGAAGTTATGTTATGAATATATATATCCTTTAAGGAGCTACCTGCATCCAAAAGAATTATCTGCAGGCTTAAAATTTAGGACTACAGGAGTCAACAAAATAATGTCATTCTTTTAGATGTTTTTCTTTTCAGAAAAATAATTACACTCCATTAAGTATTAGAAATTTTCTTGAATAACATTAAATATCTAATTCATGTGATCGTGCTAAGTTTTACTCAAGACACGTCAGACCCCTTACCTGAAATAATGGCCCTTCTCTTGCAAATACAAATCGTGTTATCTTACTTTGCTCATTTCCAAACATAAGTATTATGGAATGTTGGCCCCTTTCTCAAGATGAAAAAAAAAAAGAAACAAAAGAAAGATGACAATGGAGGATATTCTCCTAATAACATCCGTTCCAACAACTGAAAATGGGTATGGTTCATATCGATGTTTGAATGTGATAAAAATTGCATATTTATACGATTTTGACTTGAGCCAGAAAGCCTTTGCAGACATCCTCAACTTTCTCAATCACAAAACAAACACAAACCTGAATTAGTTGACTTCTTGTGTATTACTGAATTTAATAGATCAATATACTCAAAACTGACTACATTCACCCATTAAATGAATAAAAAATAAATAAAGGAATAAAAAGGGGCAATCACAACTTCTCGACTGTAAAATCCAGAAAGCAAGAAAATCAATCCCCTGAAAACCAGCAGGCAAATATTCCCACATTGACCATTCAACGCCAGAACCAGCAATTCTTTTCTAGCTACATGCAGCTCTAAACGTCTTATAGGAAAATCAAGCACCAAAACTCACCGCTATCATCGAAAACTCACATGATATAATCACATCCACATATATCTCCAACTGCAAAAAATAGATCTTTTACGGAGGTTGCAGCTTACACTCACAGTAATCACAAGTTTAATTTTATATTTTTGTTTTATAGCCTAATCAGATTTTTTTTTTTTTTTTTTTTTAATAAGTGGGAGGCCTTGGGTGCAAGAACTCCTACTTACAATCCCCCATCCAACCCAACCCTCCCAGCCATAGCCTAATCAGATAAGTTAAAAATAGTTAATAAACAAAAAACTTATTTCCAAGTAGGAGGCAGATGGCGGAGTTGGGAGGAACCATCGCTTTATCAGAAATACTCAGAGTACAAAACCACCACCACCATCATTTCCCAAAAAAAAAAAAGGCTTCACATGATCTTTCAGGCTAATCCACAAAATGGGTAAAGCTGATAAACCAAAACAAAAACAAAAACAAAATCCGTTCTTTCATCAAAACCACAAGACCCAACTCAGAGTTGACCTAGAAGATTCAATAGATACTCATAAAGATTCAATCTTTGCACTATCTACAAGTCAATGTGTTCAACAAAATCAAGTCTATGGTGATTTTTCAGTAAACAGCACAAGAGGAATAAAAGGAAGGAGACCACAAGCAGAGACTTACCGAGCCATGGGAGAATGGATGTGATCAAAAGCAGCAAAAAGTGAAACAAATGCCCCTTTTCTTCTATTATTTAATGCTTTGAATTCCTACTGTAACTAGTGCTTCTACAGTTCTCCACCTAGTAATATATTAACTGTTAAAGCATCTTGGGAATTTCCCAAATAATAGTAGTGTAGTTTAGGAGGTTTCACAAAGTGTTCTCGGTTTTCCTAACCATTATATACCGCTGTGTGCTTCGGACGCATTTTTTGGTGAATTTTGAAATTTGAAAGCGTGTCTACTTACTATTGCTTTGAGTACGATGTTGATAGTTTGACCATTGACTAGACAACATGTGATTAATCACTACCTACAGAAAAATGGAATTGAAAGTGGAAAAGGCAATCAACCGACACTTTAGTAGGAGTTTGGCCACTGATTGTTTCATACCACATTTGTTTGATTTATGTTCATCTCAATAATGCTAAATTCATTGTTGCCTTTTTTTCTTAATGCTATTTTACATGTAAACATGTTTTCGACAACTGCTAAATTGATTGTTGCGGTATTTTTTTTATAGATTATTCAAAATAATCTCTTATCTACACACGCTCTCGACCGTTCCTAAGAATATAATGTTTTATTTATGAGGGGAAAAAGTCCAAATTGTTCAATACTTTCCCACAAAATACTAGCAATTTGATAAAGTTTAATGCTTTGTTCTAGATTGTTAGGTAATACCACAAGAATCGAACGTGTAAAGAAAAGCTCAAAGGTAGATCAAATTACTTGATCCTTTAAATCAAGTTCGTTCATTTTCTATTTTCTAACTCATTAAACAAATCATTAAGTATATCGTTAAGTTTCAAACCTCACTAGAGTTTGGTTTGATTAACATAAATTTTGAAACATATATATATATATCAAATATATATACTATATATAAAGTTTGAGAAAGGAATTTGGGACTAACATTTATCGTCATTTTATGAACCTTCTTTTTTATTCTTATAAAAACTACTTTTATTTTAACTACCTATAACCACTCATGACTATTTACTTTTAACTATTTAAATATATGTTTTAAACGTAACTATTCCTACATATTATAGCTACCAATATAAAATTATTTTATAAAAAAATATTTAAAAGATTAAAGTTTGTTTAGTAATAACAATTTTATTTAAAACATATAACCGATAATATTATGTAGTTTTTGATTGCACATGCATTAGTGTGTATTGAGTAATAGTTTAATTTACTCAAACTCAGTTCGATAAGAGTTCGATTCAATAAATAAACATATCAAGTTTAAACATAATATTCTTTCTTTGAGGAGAGATTGAACATAATTTCAAGTTAAATAATAATAAACAAATAAGCTTGAACTCTGTGACTTTAGATCAGTAATGTAAATGATTTTAATCAAATCAAACACTCTTTTTAAAAAAAAAAAAAATCGTTTACACCACTTATCTAAAGTGGATACTACTAAAGCTATTGGCAGTGGGCTGAGTGTGACGATTTTTTTAACGCAAGCAATTATAGACTAGCCCATAGCGTTTAGAATACACAAAATTGGTCAGTTTGAATTCCAAACCGACACAAAATAAGCCCCGCATAGTCAATCGCCCATAAGCCCACAACAAGCTCTATTAGGCTGACCACTGATCCACTGCCAAATTGCCACCTAACACAACTTGGCTCCGCTCTGCTCCCTGCGCAAAAACTCGGGGGGGAAAAAAAACCGCCACAACTCCGGCACCGTACGATGAGCAGCAAAGCCCGTAATTTCCGCCGCCGAGGCGGAGATGGCGCTGACGACGACGAAGACAACGACAAGAGTACCAAGACCCCCACCACCAACGGCTCCACCACCACATCATCAAAACCCCAATTCAAATCCATTTCCTCCGCTTCAAGACCGAAAAAACCGGTAACTGCAGTTCCCAAAAGCCGCCTGAGCTTCGCTGACGATGAGGAAGCCGACGCCGACCAATTGCCCATTAAACCTCGTCCCTCTTCATCAAACTCTCGTCTCTCCAGACCCTCTTCTTCTTCCTCTTCTCATCATAAGCTCAGCTCGTCTAAAGACCGAATTGGGCCTCAAACGACGGCGTCGCTACCTTCCAATGTGCAACCCCAAGCTGGAACTTACACCAAAGAAGCCCTCCTTGAGCTCCAGAAGAACACTAGAACCCTCGCCTCTTCCCGTTCAGCCCGGCCCGAACCTCCCAAATCGAAGCCCGAAGTGACGCCCACTGAGCCCGTTATCGTATTGAAAGGGCTAGTGAAGCCAAAACCGAATATGGTTGACGATGCAGATGGGGAAATCGAGAATGACGAGATGGGTGTTGAGCAGCAAGGCGATTTGGTGAGAACTGAGAGAGATGAGGCAAAGTTTAGATTGGGTTTGAGAGGGAAAAGTGAGGTTTCTGGGGGAGTCATACCAGACCAGGCGACAATAGACGCGATAAGGGCAAAAAGAGAGAGGCTCAGGCAGGCAGGGCCTGCAGCCCAGGATTATATATCATTGGATGGAGGAAGTAATCATGGTGAAGCCGAGGGGTTGAGCGATGAGGAGCCAGAATTTCGAGGGAGAATCGGGTTTTTTGGAGCAAAAATTGATGGTGGGAAGAAGGGCGTGTTTGAGGATTTTGAGGAGAGAGTAACGGCAAAGGATAGCGCTGTTCTTAATAGCGACGATGAGGATGAGGAAGAATTGGAAAAGTTGTGGGAAGAGGAGCAGGCAAGGAAAGGTTTGGGATTAGGAAAGAGGCTAGATGATGGCGTTAGTGTAGGAGTCAGTAGTAGTACTGCTGGTGGTAGTAGTGTTAATGTGCCTCAGAGTGTCCCTCAGCAGAAATTTGGTTTTCCAATCGTGGCCTCTGGTAGTGTATATTCTTCAGTGCAGATTAGTTCTGTTGATACTGTTGGTCCTAGTATTGGGGGTGCTGTTGGGGGATTGCCTGGATCAGATGAAATGCCGATATCACAAAAAGCTGAGCTCGCTAAGAAAGTTTTGTATGACAATGTGAAGATGCTTAAGGTATGCATTGGCATTTATTCCTAGTGTTTGTTTTGAAATTTGATTACTTATTCTTTGTTTTATAAGTTTAAGTAGGATTTCTTCTGGAAATACAGCATTATCAGTTTAAGTTGTAAATTAGTTGTGAGATTACCATTGCAAGTAGAAAAACAAGAATTACTGGATAAAGCATTTAATTAATAGTTTTCTGCTTCTGTCTTGACCAGTATTAATTTGGACATTTAGAAGATATTTGAGTTTAATACCAATATGTTGCTCTGAAGAAAATGTTCATTGGTGTTTACAAGTTTTATTTTCTTCCCTCTGTTTATGTAGTGATTGCAACTGATCTGTTATTGTCTTTTGACTTGTCTTTTTCTTAGGAGTCTCATAAGAAAACAATGGATACATTAACAAGGAATGATGAAAATCTATCCGCTTCACTGTTGAATGTCACCAAGCTGGAAAATTCATTATCTGCTGCTGGTGAGAAGTTCATCTTTATGCAAAAGCTTCGTGAGTTTGTTTCTGTTATATGTGACTTTTTGCAGGTACGGATTATCTGATTTATCAATCTCCAATTTATTTTGGTGCCCTCCATAGTTGCCAAATCTTAACGTGATAGATCAATTATGTTGTTCTCTTTATTTGTTTTGCTACTGTCACTGAGCATAAGTGACCGAAAGTATGGAGAATCTGTTGTCCTAGCACCCGCCATCTTTATTTTTCTGTATATGTTAAATCCTGCTGTTAGTTATTAGGAGCTTTGAGGTTATAACTACTTAGATTGCTTCACTTCAGCCATCTTTAGATTCTCTTCCAATTTTTCTGTCACTGTATAGATCCAAGTAGGTTTTGGTACTGAAGGATCTATAAATATTGTTATTTTGGAGTTCTTAACTCATATGTTGGTTTACTGCTTTGAATCATGTTGTTTAACGTGCTACTTTTGTAATTTTGAAGATAATTTTATCAATTTTGGAACTTTCAGATTTTCTAGTGTCTTTTACATGTATGCTCTGTTAGTTGACGTATATTTAGTTCTTTTCTTTATCATCTATCAATTAAGACGATGTAGATGAGGTTGCGTTCTTCTCATGGCAGTACATGCTATTTTTTCTCTTTCTAAATTCAGGTGGAATTATGAACTGAGGTTTATAATATGTAGGGCAGCAATTGTGGAAGAGTTGGTTATATAGGTTGTCTTGTCTCCTTTAGTGTGATGATGAGCATGAAAGTGGCATATAGAGAATTATTCTTTTTCAAAGAATGTCTCAGGGACCCATCTGATGGTTTTTTTGACTGCTTAAATTTTGATGATTCTGGGTGTCAATTGTATATTCACCTCTTTCCTCATTTAGTTTCAATTTTCTTCTGTTGGCTTTGGATAATGTTCTCCTGTTTGGTATCATTGCCATTGTGGATTATCTGCTGTTGTAGTGCTCCTCGTGCTCCCAATATTCATGCATACATATTCCTCCTCACTTTGAGCAGTAATACAGACACTACCGCTTGCTTGTGAATGAAGTCATTGTGCAATACATAGATAGAAGAAAGTTTTTTGATCCTCAGTTGTTTTTCTCAAGTTGAAGAATATCTTCATCTGTGCTATAGTGTTATTTTGTGAGTGAGCTGTGTGGATTCATACTGGATGTAAATTTGAGACTTCTCTTTTGGTTTATGTGCTATTCACTCTGTTACATTTTATACGTCACTGTTTTGGTTTGTGTCAAAAAAGTTTCAAGAAAGTATATAAAGCCTAACTTGACCCTTTATACAAATCCTAAGAAATAATCGTAGGAGGCATGTTGCCATGATAAATAACATTACAAACCATCTCTTAACTATGGTAGTTGTGCCTCATGTAAAACTTCAAATTCAACTAACAAAATAGTGTTGTTCAATTGATGGGCAATAATGGGAACAGTTGCTTTGCTAGCTGATGTATTTTTGTCAAATTCTACTTTTCTTAAGTATGCGCAAAGTTGTCAATGACATATAATGTGGGTTGGAGAAGAATGCTATGGATACTCTAGGGTTTTCTGGTGTAACATCTTGCCCTTGCCCTGGTTACATGTAGGAGTTTCCATGACTTTCCTTGAAGGGCTTTGAGCATTTTGTTTGGCTGTTTTCATCTTTTGTTGCTTGTTCTTGGTCTACTCTGCTAGATAGTGTTTTCTAAATGTAACATTAATGTAATTTTGATCTGATATTAATCTTGCTCTTTGCAGCATA